TTGCAAATTTTATCAGTTTTAATTTTGAATAGGACGTCTTTGTCGATGCGATGGATAGTTTTCCTGATATTTTAACAAGAAAAAAGTGATCTACTAGGTGCTTCTCCCCCCCCCCCTATCCCACCACATTTGGCTCGCCACCTAGAAGTGGGGACTTTTAGTCTGTTTATTTTCCTACTAGTCTATATCCGCTTCTCTGACATTCAATGGCTGGACTAATATTAGTTGTATGTTGTTTATTTGGGCTCTGAGGCATAAAAGCCTAGGGTCATCAACGCGTTTGTTTTTTATGGACAAATTTTAGTGTCGTAACGGCATTCGTAATAAATAATATTCCGTGGTACCGATCCCTTTTTATCATATTATTAATATCCGGCTGAAACTTCGTAAATAACTTCATTGCATCGTAACCTACAAATATTTTATTTACGAAAATTCTGGGAATAGGGCAGTTTTTAATTTGGAAGTCGACAAACTTTGTCTATTTAATTAGGTACTAAAAACTCCTAAGTGCCCATTTACTTTACACTTGGTTTATAAGATAATTTGATCTCAAAGTCGATAAAAAAGGTGGCCTACATAAATATTGGGCCGTTTGGCCTATATAACATCGTTATTGTTCAAATTCGGGGGTGTAGGTAACGCCAAACGGCTCAATATTTTTTAAGGCCACCTTTTTTCACGACGTTGTGTTCAAGTTAACTTACAATTCAAGTGGAAAGCGAGTGTATTTACATATTTTAGTACCTAATTAAATATACAAAGTTTGCCGACCTCCAGATTCCAAACGCCTTTATTCCGAGAATTTTCGTAAATAAAATATTTGTAGGTTACGATGTGGAGAAGCTATTTACCAAGTTTCAGCTAGATGTTAATAATTTCATAAAAAGGGGTCTCTACCATGGACTAAAATCAAATGCATTGTTGTTGTTTTTTGTATTATTATTTATTCTATATTCAACAAGTTATTATAAATCTTTTCATAAATTTGTATGTTGCTCGCTATATTGCTTGGAATCATTTGTACATCAAATTCTGGCCCCGTTACCTCGGAACAACTGATATTCTCAGGAGGAGGTTGAGGTGTGGGATAGGATAGGTGATAGATAGCATAGATAGGATAGGTGAAGAATAGTAGCTAGATTGGTAGGATAAAGATAAGGACATGATTCTCCGTTAATGTGATGTAATCCACCCCCCTCCTCCCAGCTTCCAAATCTAAAGAATGCAATTAAATTAGCATATCAAGCACCTGAACGAGTAGTGTGTCTCAACGGACAAGAATCCAAACCATTCTACTTTGGAAAAGGAGTCAAACAAGGTGATAGCCTAAGCCTTCTTCTCTTTATTTCGTTCCTAGACAAAAAATATTGAAGGTATGCTATTGAGTAATTTACTATTGAGGAGAAAAAGAACCTTATCTCAATTTTGGCATAAGCTTTTGTATTTGGAGATTGAAGGCAGTTATACTTAGAATAGAGAGAGGAACTACTGGGAATCAAGGCAGCAAAGAGCAAAGTGATGCAGATTGAAAGAAATAAGAAGGAACTGAACAGGTGATTGACACAACAAAAGCCAAGTTAATTTATATTTCTAGCTTTTATCAACTAGTTTTATTCTAAATAAAATAAATGTAGTCAGTTTCAAATTCTTCAATTATTAATTTACTACTTTAAAGGACTCAGAAAAGCAATATTTTGGATTTAAACTTGATAAGAAACGTAAGACACTTAGCAAACTACTCAAACTACTTTACCCTCCTTTTTTCTAAATCTTCAAAACTAAAACTAAAACAGAAACTGAATAAATATACATACTTATTTAAGCCCATATGGACATATGTCTAAAAAGACCCACCTACAAAAACTTCAAACGATCCAATCAAAATTATTGCGACTCATAACAAAAGCATCTTGGTACGTGACTAACAAAACTCTACATACTGACCTCCACTTTCCAACAGTTGACCAACATATAACGACACTTTATCAACGATTTTACACAAATTTAAATGGACATAATAACAGACTAATAAGAGACATGGCCACAGCTGACATACCTCAGAACATGAGGAGGAGACTAAAAAGGCGTTGGATGAGAGATCTCCTTCCTTAAACAACCTAAGTAATTAGAACAAGTTAGGGAAGAGGTACTGCTGAGTACTTTCCTTCCCAATACCTGTCATGTCATTATTTCCTGTATCGCCATCACATTTACTGATTGTCAATAATAAGTTGACAGGCGCAAACACATTTTTATAGACAGGAAAAACTTAATATGAAAATACTTCTCAGATTACAAGAATGGGAAGTACATCTAAAATCATTTGCTATAGTTGGGCTTATCATAAAATACATAAATTCCAAGAATTTACTTCTGTATCTTATAACTAAATAATTCAGTCCCATCAGAATATTTAGAATATTTTGGATCCGGGCAAGGTTATGTTTGAGGATGCCGAACACAATAAATAAATTAATTGTTTTTAAAATCATTACGTTCTGATCTTAATAACGTATGTAATGATTTGCATTATAATTATCATTTAATTAAGAAAAATAAAAAAAATAATACGAAACTCTTCTTGAGGATCTAGTTAGTAAAATTTCTATTAATGGTTAAAAAAAGATATGGAAATCGTAAATAAGGAAATCATTCATAAATATAAAATAGAATGTTTAAAAAAAAATGACCGTTTTATCAAATTCAAGATTTCAAAGGAGTGTAAATATTTTAATCCTATTAAATACTTACCATTACTTAATAATACCTTTAGAGCATTCTCTAAACTTGTTCAATCCCAATCAACTTCTTAAAAAAAAAAAAAAGCCTTAGTTTAGTTATTTGTTTCAAAGAAGAAACATGACAGTCATACAAAATTATCGTAATTTTAAGGCATTACTGAAAAAGGTGTCCTTGACCAGCGCATTGCGTGGCGTTTGTTTGAAAAATTTGAAAAGCAGCGGAGATAAGACGTTGCACAGGAAAATGGGTGCCCGTTAATGGATATTGATGAGGTTCTGCAAGAAGCTGTTGAGTCAAATCCATCCACAAGTACTCGCGAACTTGCCAGGGACTGTGTTGTGTCGAAAGATACTGTTAGTCACCATCTACTCCCCATGGAGGAGGTGAAAAAGAGCAGTAGACTGTGGTCTCTCACGAACTCAGCAATCAGCTAAGAGGTTACAAATTTTTGGAAATTTATTGAAAAACCCTGGTCTGGAAAACTCCTGCCTTATCCACTATATAGTCCAGACTCTGCACCATCGGATTACTACTTATTTAGACCCATAACCCATTTTCTTCAGGGAAACATTTTTGATAATCTTGCGAAATTTGATATTGCGGTCCAAGAGTTCTTTGACGGCCATCCCAAAGATTGGTATCAGCGTGGGATAGAGCAATTGGCTAGCAGATGGCTAATGGCGGTAGATAACAACGGACTATACTTTGAGTATTAATTGTGTTTAATATCAAAGAAATAATAATACAAATATTTGGTTAAAAACAGCTTTTTTTTTATTCACCCTATCATTTACATATCCAGATTGGAAAATTATGTGAATTCGAGATAAATTATTGTAAGCTGGCAATTATTGTCTACTGGCAGTGTCGAATAACCAGTGAGGAAAAGCGATATAATCGATAGTAGAGAAAAATAGAAAATTACAATAAAGGCAATATTACTGCAGGAAATCGTTTAAATTTAATCAAGGATTGCTATCCAAATAGCTTTGGGTGTATTCAGTCATTGTTGATTCTCGATTTTGAGTTTATTTTCACTTGAAAAATCAACATTGGGTATGTCAAATGATCCAAACGAAACAAAAACAAAATATGGAACACCGATTGGCGGAGTTTTAGTTGGATAATTAGCAAATGTATTTCAATCAAAAGTATTCATCATATATTTTAGTTATCATAAATCTATTGTTTCATTCTTAAAGTTTTATATTATTTATTAGTTGTACATATTTGTGGCTCACAATAAATTTGCCATCTACATCGGTATTCAGCAAATAAGATATCAAGGAGAAGAATAAAAAAAAAAAAAAAAAAAAAGAAATCGCAATAACACATACATTATAACATAATAACAAATACACACACAGAAACGATAATGTAGCAAGTAGCTCAATGCAATAAGTCAGTATCCGGCCAGCGCCTCAGCAGTCTTCTGGGCGGATTATATGGATTTGTGGCAGTAGATAGAGCTTGAGTAAGTGGACTGGAATTTAGAGTCAGACTGTCATGAAAATTATTAAAGTGGTCAGTGGCAGTTGCTGAAAGAAGTATCATTCTTAAAGTATGATAAAATAATGATCAATCAGAGCAAAGTTTATTAAAATGATTTATTCACAATTATAATTGTATATGTTCTTACTTTGTGAATATAGAACAAAAAAATATTATTGATTCATTTCATATTATTTTTAAAATGCCTCGTTAATGTTTTCATTTCTGTCGTGTGTTCTTAAGCACACACCAGTTTTTTTTTTTTTTTTCAATTCTATTTATTTATATATTTTTAATATAAGCTTTGCAACAATTAATTGTAATATTTTTTGCTGAAAACGCGGATACTTTTATGTGACAGGATTAAAATTAACATATTTTTTTATTACAAAACTTGAGCTGAATCTCAAAATTTCCTCTGATAAACCTCAACTTAATTAATACTACCGTGAAGCTTGTTGGACGAAGAAGTTTTTGTTAAAGTGAGAAAACTGTAGTAGTTTGATGATGATGAAAAAAAAAAGACGAATAATTTATGATTTTTCAAAAACAGAAGTTAGCTTAGTAAAACTAGAGTATTTTGCCCTTAGCATATTTATATTGTTTGTTATAAACGTTTCGATTACCTCTGATGGTTCCATGGATTAGTAAGCTGATGCAGGCTGGCTCAATTAGGCGACAAGGATTCCCCAACAGGTGATAGTAATCCCCACTCCCCAAGGTATTGCCTCCGAGCGCCTTTCCACTTCAGATACCTACGAAACCCCCGAGCTGTTCCAGTCTTTTCCAGACAGTCGAGGAGTACACCTGGATAATAACCGAAGAGATGGCAACCGAAGTGCATCAGTGAGTGTTGAGTCTTTTAGTGTATATAGGATATCTCACAGATACACACCAAGTCAGAGTAACGATCTAGATATTATGTTTTCCTTTGAATTAAAGTGGATTATTTTATATTTATTAATGACCGAGAGAGAGAGAGGACATCATATATATATATATATATATATATATATATATATATATATATATATATATACACAGGGTGTCCTGTAAGTAGAGGGAAATTTTCATAAGAGTCCTTAAGAGCTACAAAAAAGTTTATATAAACAATAGACCAATTTTCAGCAGAAAAGTAGCAATTCCAAATTTTGTTGTTTTTTTAAGTGATTCGTATTTTTTGTTGAATCAAAAGCAATAACTAAATAAAAATTTAATTTAAGTAATTAATAATTGCTTCATTAATATATAACGAATATTATTAATTAATATAATGACAATATAATCCTACGAAAATGTGTTAAAAAATTTTACAATTTACATTTTTCTACTTCAGTTTACTATGTTAAATATTGAACTTATTTAATCGAACATCCTAAGTTAAAGTCATGCATTAAAAAGAAGAAAAGTATTATATTCATCTTTCGAAAAGAGCCTAAAATTCGTACAAATACAATATTTAAATACAAAATTTTTATACACGTCAAATTTTCAAAATGATTGACTTAAAATAATATTTAAAAACATAAATTTATCAAGCGGTAAGCGTAGCTTTTAAAATGACAAAAACAATTCGAAAATGACATAAAATTTTGTTTGAAAATCTACGTAAAATAATAGACAATTTCAAAAACAAAATATTCAATTTTCTAGTACGAAATTTTTCTGGCATAAAGCTCACACTAAATATTAAAGCCTAAATTAAAAATTAAATTATATTAATATAATAAAAATATAATCCTACCAAAATGTGTTTAAGAATTATACAATTTACACGTTCCTACTTTGGTTTACTATGTTAAATATTGAACTTTTTTTATCGAACATAAAAAAAACTAACGTTTATCCCAATTGTTCAAAATTTGGAATTTTACGTTTCAACATATGTAAAATCGGAAAATGTAATACAAAAAATACGACTAACATTTTTTTTCCAAGATTGGGTCCATCATTTTGAGATATAGTGTCAAAGTCAGAGGTCAAAGGAAAACCGGAACTCGACATTACTATTCGTCGTTTTGTTTCCAAATAGAGACCGAAAAACGTGTTTGTATACTGTTGTATCAAGACGGTTGGAAGGATTTTAATTGAAACTTGTCGTAAGTGTAATTCTCGATGCCTTTTAAATTTATCTTGAATTCACCGATAAGAAGCTGGAAGTTAACGAAGAATGCAGAATTTTATCTCCAAATCGTTCAAAAAGTACATTTTTAGTTGATTATGTGTCCATGAATAATTCATTATTAAAAAAAAAAATAATATCAATGAAATCGAACTATTTAATGCAGATATTTAGCGTTTTGAGATGTTTTATAAGTGCATTTTTGATATCGGTTAAGTTTCAAATATGTTTTTGTGAATATTGAGCTTATTTATCCATTCAAAAACATCGTCAAGTTCTAGAAAACGACAAACATTCTTTTATTTATCTCGTACAGTTAAGTGAACTAACACGTAGTTGAACTAATACAATCTGTGGATCACCGATTTTAACCAAATTTATTTTAGTCATACTTCATCGAAAAATATTAGACACATATCCGTTCCAATGGGACTAAGAGCCGAGAATTTTTTTTAAAATATAATTTCTAACAAAATATAGGTTATTTATTGTTGCCTCTACGTTGTCCGGATTTTTAAAGTATTATTTTATCGATCGATTTTTTTTTTTGTGCTCAATAAAAAAAATATATTGACTATTGTATTAAATAATAAGTTTTAACGTTTCATAAATCACAAAATCCAAACGTCGCTTCCAGTAAAATAGGCTAAATAATTTTTTGTTAGATTCGTTCTAATGTCCTTTGAAACTCTTAAATAGGAATTATTATAGAGATCAAAAATTCCATAAATACTTGATTTTCTTAGAGGATTTTTTTTTTTTTTGCCGATAAATATTCATAACTTCTCAGGATTTTCTCCAAATAAAACATTAGTAGAACCGTTGGAAAGCTGAATTATTACCTTTCCTGCCCACATCGATAACTTTTAGAATTCATTCCTTTTTAAATCAGAAATTAAGAAAAACATCCCAAACATTTTTATTTCTTATCTTTGATTCTAATTAGTTTACGAAAGCCGATTTTGGACCATTTCGTGTAGCATACAGAGCTCTAAATCCATATTGATTTATTATTGTATTGGTGAAGCCGTTCTAAGGTTATCACATGTTTTGTAGTTGATTGATTAATTTACCTTTACAATAGTTAAATTCAAGTTGAATTTGAAGAAAATTCTGAAGAATTATGAATGCTTAGTTGAACGGCCTGAAAAAAATTCATCCAAGAAAACCAAGTACTAAAGGTTATATTTTTTTATTTATTTAAGAGTTTTAAAGGGCCCTATAAAGAAATCTAATTTGCTTTTTCATTACTAAACTGTAGTATATCATAAATCTTAGGGTTTTAGTGTTTTAGCAAATTGTAAATTGGTTCATGTTTTCTGTTGTAGTTTGATGCCTCAATTATTTAAAAAAGAACATGTGTTTTTATTGTGATGTGAACAAGTTTTTGGATGATTTAATAAATTAATGAAAACATTTATTTTAAATTGTATTTAAACAATATAAAAAAACTTAACTTGGCGTCATTTACGGGAAGTATCTTGTAATTTATGATGCACTATAATTCATTTAATAGAATAGTTAATATTTTTTCCTTATTCTGCACAAAAAAAAAAATAAACTATTGATGTATAGTAATCTAAAAACCCGCGCAAAGCAAAGGCAAAAACAAATAACATAAATTTGGTTTGAATTTATATAAACATTTTTTCTCGACTCCTAGGACCCATTAGACATAACGTCGGGATATGTATCTCATATTTTCGATGTAGTATCACCAAAATAAATTTGGTTGAAATCAGTGACCCACAGATTGTATCATCTCCTTTTACGTACAAAATTTTCTTAATTATTCAAGGTTATGAATTGTCACTTAATGATATTTGCTATAACCGACGATATATTTTAATGCAAAAGCGATGTTTTTTTTGTTTTTTTTGATAATTCGAAAACTCGACATCTACGGAAGCAATCGAGATTGACATTTGAAGTCTATCTTAAGCAGGTCCTTATTATAATAAAATTTATGATTACATTTTTCTCGAAGTGACAAAGAAATTTGTCTGATACATTAGTGTGGCGTAACATATTTGATATATTAGAAATGATAAACCATTGTATAATAATAATAATAATAGATGAACTGTGCTGCCGAACACTACGAGAATCGTAAGGATCTTCCTAAATATCCAATAGAACTACAAAAATTGACGTTAAGTGGTTTAAAAATAAAGAATAATAATTATTTTGTTTTAGATAAATTTATATCTTTCAAAAATTAAGATTATGTAAATTATTACATTTATTAACAGATTTACTGTGCTTAGAATTTTTTTTTTCCGTTGAACTTAACTTTAAAAAACATCTCTTTATTTATGAATTTTTCCATATTTATGTATAAAAATAAAGAAAAGATTTCTAAAGTTAGTAAGTTTGTTGACAAAAATATTCAAAGCTTAAGGACAACAAAACATTCTTTATTTGTTTATTTCAGGGCTTTAAAACTGAAAAAAAACTTTTATTTTTAAAAATTACCGGAATTATTATAGTCGATAGTTTCTGAGTTCTTTTGGAACTAGAACTTTTCTCTTGACGTAATGGATTTAAAGAACTTTTATTTATGAAAAACTTTATTCAAAAGTTCTATTTATATCACTAAAGAAGTCGATCTAAAAAATGACATTTATGTGCAGCTACTCAAACCATCGAGACATTAGAAGCATATATAATTCATTTAAGACCAATTATAATTTATAATTAACACTAATCTCAGTCCGATTACTGTTAATATTTTATCTAACGAAACTATTTTTAAGAACTTGAATGAATACATGTTTTTTAATACATTTTAAGAATAAATACATCTTAAACTTTTACCAAATACCTTGGAATGTATTACAAACAAATTCACAAGAACTTTTATTTTAAGAAATTTTTAACTAAAATGTTTCGCAGCAACTGTTAAAATGGAACTTTTTTAAGAATTTACTTAAACGTTTCAACTACAGGTTTATTTTTATCTACTGCAGGAAATTAAATTAAATTTTTAAAAAAATAATGTTTTCTCTGTCCAGCCAAACGAAAGAAATCTACGATTTTGTTTAAAATAAATAAAACTTAATCCTTAATTTCGGAAACCCCACATATTTGTATTTCAATAATGGAACACGTAGGATTTTCGCAGTTCATAATTAAAATTTGTAACGATAATAAATGTTACAAATGGTCGATATAAATGGACAATCATAGATTTTTATGTTTTTAAAAGATTGGTTAAAAATAACGTAAATAGGTTTATATGTAAGAGTAAGCGATTAAATTATGATAACATTAAAATATTTCTTTTAATTTTGACGTGTGGGTCCCAGATCATCCTTCTGTTAATATTAATCCAAGGTATCGAACTGTGCCTGTCTGATGAATTTGGTTCCCGTCGATATAATCTGGTGGCCATTAGTAATTGTTATATGTCATGATTTAATCTTAATAATATAAAATTAAAGATATCAATATAAACGAATAAGAAACTATATGGGTATGTGTTTAGATGTTATAGAGTTAAATGTCTTTTATTTTGTGTCATGATGATGTCAAACTTGAAACGTCGACGGATTAGCAAATTTTTACCTGTACTTTACAGACACAAGTGGATAGATAGATAAATAGAAATCTTATTTGTTTTTGGGGGTTCCCCATACAAATAGAGCCTTGCTTGGACAAATCTGATACATGAGGAACATTAAGGTCATTGTGGATGATTTTACTAGTAACAAAGTAAGGAGCA